CTTATATTTAGTATATCAGTTGCAAATATATTTAGTATATCATAAATTAGAAGTACATCAGATATATATATTATATGTATAATATGTACATTTGATATATATTAGTGGTATATCTGATAATGTATATCATGGTACATCTAATACTGTATATTAGGGGTACATCAAATGTATATCAAAAATATATAAGAGTTACATCAGATGTACATTATATATAGATTGGATGTATAACATATACAAATTTACATTAGATATATATCAGATATAGATTTGATGTATGATATACGTCAGATGTATATCAGATATAAATTGGATGTATATCAAATATAGATCTACATCATATATATAACAGATATCGTAAGAGTAAAATTGGAATAATAAAAATTTCGAAAATAAAAATTCAAATATTTTGTTATATTTGAATTTTTGAAAAGCTAGTGACATTTTCTGAAATACATAAAATATTTTTGCTACCCACTACAATTATTCTTTTTTTTTGGGCACGAAACACACTGGTTTGATAACAAATTTGATTTTCTGTTTTCTATTTTCTAATAACCAATCTTAATAAATTGACGACAAAATGGTGAACCAAACCATAGAATAAAAAATTGACCAACACGTTGGCATGTTGACCCCATTGACACATATTGATTGATCCCCCACCCCTATCGACAATATGTAGTTTACAGGTCGATATGTCGACGTGTCAATGATACTAAGTCAACTGCCTATACCCCAGTTCCTTTCCCCGCCCGGGTATGGATTTTTCACCTTTTCAAAAATTGATGGCATTAAAAAAGCGCTCTCGAACAAAGAAGATATGCACCAAAAAACAAAGAGAAGTTTTTGATTGAGGGGTTGATGTTTAGGRTTTTCTGCTGGAGCCATGATTTCCGTCTCTGCAATGGTGATCCAATCGACTTTTTGTTTTGGCATTAAAGAGTTGCAAATCTTCTTTTACGAGAGTAAAAAAAAAGAAAGAAGAGAAAACCGGCTGGCTTTGCCTTCAACAATAACAAAAAAGGGAAGATGAAAAATTACATATATTAGACATATTTTAGATTTAAATATAAACAAACCAAATCCTATTTCTTAATTCTAAATCATTTTAGATCCGATCGAAATAGGATTTTCGGGATAAGGAATCGATTCGCAAAAGGGTCCGACTCGTAATTCACTTCTGACTCCGTGTTCGATAGCCCGAATTTGGAAGTAGGCCTCGCTTTTCGGAGCTGCTCCCAGCTCACACTATGGTGGAGGAGGTGCCGTGAAGATCTAGGAGTGTGAGCAGTACAATGACATATCGTCGGTCCTCTATCATGATTTATGGTTTTGAACTCATCTTTGTGTTCGCTGTCAATCTCACAGTCAGATTTTGATTTGCTGCATCCTCTTCCACGTCTTCATTACCCTTAGATTTCACCATTTGTCTTAGCTATGGTTTGACTTTCAGCCTTCGATTCCACTGTTTGTCTTTGTTATATGTTGATTCTGCCGCTCATATTTGCTGCACCATCTTCCATCAGCCTTCGATTCTATCGTTCGTCGTCGTTGTGGCTTCCCCATTATCCTTCGATTTCTCCCTTGATCTTCGTTGTGTCTTCTTCGCGTGGCCTGGATTCTCTCATGAGTCCTCACTAAATCACAAGTCTCTTTAACGAGCTGCTTCCCACCTTAAGGGTCTGATAAGCATTTTAGATTTTGGTTTTTGCTTTTTATTGTTTTTAGTTTTTAGTTTTTGGTTTTCTATTTTTAAAAAACAAAAACCATATATGTTTGATAACCATTTTTTGTTTTTTGTTTTTAAAAAACAGAAAACCAAAACATATTTGGTAACCATTTTTAGTTTTTTGTTTTTAAAAAGTTAGAAAATTGAAAATACATATTAGACAGATAAAAATTTATGTAGAGTAGAGATGACAATAGTGTCGATACGAGTGAGGATGCTCTCCCCCATTCTCGTAATTATGAAAATTTGTAGTCTCCGTCTCCATCTCGGACTCCTTGGGTCTGAGAGATGTTCTCAAGAAAAATTATCGGTTTTATAATTGTTTTTAAGTATTTTTAGAATTTAAGTATAAAAAAAGTGTAATAAATATATATTAATTATTTAAAAAATGGAATTGGGGATGGGGACGGGGTCGAGACATGCATTTCCTATTTTTTGGGAAATTTTTGTCACCCCATGAAAATACAAGCTTAGAGAGATGTAAATAAACTTTTCGAAGATAAATTTTAGAGAGATGAATAAAAAGATTTAAAAAAAATCGTGAAAGAAAAGTTAAAAGACAAAAAGAGAAAAATTGTAGAGAAAAAAATAAAGTCGTGAGGAAAAAATATGTTAAAGAGAAAAAAAAATTATAAAGAAAGAGAAAAACTATAGTGGAAATAAATTTAGAGATAATAACATGATTCAAAATAAAATTTTTGGAGAAAAAAATAAATACAAAGGTAAATAAAAATTACAGTGAAAGAAAATTGAACAAGAAAATAAAATATAATTTTCAGAGAAAGAGAGAAAAATTATAAAAGATGAAATTTTAGAGAGAAAAAATTATGAAAAATATTAAATTTTTAGAGAGTGAAATAAAACTAGTCTATTAAAAAAAAATACAGAAAAATTTGGAGAGAGACAAATAATAATAAATATTCAAAGTATTTAGAGAGAGAAAATAAAGTTTGTAGAGAGAAATTTAAAAATAAAAAAAAATTTAGAGTGAGAAATAAATTTTTTAAAGATAAATATGAGAAAAAAAAAAGTTGAGTATTTAGAAGAAAAATCATTTTTCGAAAAACAAAAACCTATTTTTGAAAACTATGAAAAATAAAAAACTGATAACCGGCGTAAGAAATTGACACGAAATGAAATCTTTTTTGTGAGATTGACATGAAATGAAATCTTTTTTCATTTTTCTTTTTTGAGTTAAAAGGGAAACTTGAGAACAAAAGTTTTTATTTTATTTTTCTTGATAATATTATTATAATGAGTAACAAGTCTCTTTTCTACCATAGTGCTTGATTTTGATTTGATTTTTTAAAATTTGAATTCTTTTTAAGTAAAATTTATATTTTTATCGATCATACCCACGCAATTTCAAAATTATTTTTATTCAGTTTAATTATTTTTTAATTTTATAATTTTAACCCTTTCACAATTTTCAAATTTATTATTTATTTATTTTATATCTCGTTCAATTATATAACTAAATACTACATTTGATTAGAAATTATCAATAAAACATAAATAAATAACATAATTTATCAATTCAAATAATTTCCATCAATATTTATTATATTGTTTTGACATTTTTGTCTACATTGACATTTTCATAGATAGATTATTCAAATTTTAAAAATATCCATGATTAAGCTACAATTAAAATTTTATTAATAAAAATAATTTCCATCTACTTTTACAATTTCCATCATATTTTTTAAAATATCTGTTGAAACCTAGATTTTCTGCGATCGAAATCTCCACATTTCTATCGTCGACATATTTCTGGTGTGAGGTGAGTAGGAGCTTCCCCGAATCCGAATGACCGCTACTTAAATTGCAAACGTGTCGGACGCGCGTCTTTACATTCCAATGGCACGTTGCCCTCTGGCGCTCCACAAAAGATTGATCGCCCATTAGTGATCCATTGCGAAGCCATGGAAATTTCTCGGAGCTCTTCACTTCCAGGTCCGTTCTAACTTCTATTCTCACCTCAATTCTCACTTCCCTAACTTCCTAACTAGTTCTCTTTTGCTGTGTAATTCGATAGAACGTGGGTGCATTTGATTTTTGATTCTCCTTATTTTAAATTTTCTTTTCATCGGGTATTTTTCTGGTTTAGAGCTGCGTCTCTGGGATAAAAAACAACTAGCTATTTTTTTTAAGCATTTGGATGATTTCGATTCAAATAGTTTTTTATTGTTGCCGATGTGTTTGTTTTCACTTGTGGAGAGGATAGCTTTGAATCATTGCTGCATTATCATCCTCTGTATCCGTAATCTGTTGGATTTTGTCCATTACAATGCTTCGTGGAGTACAGAGTTCGATCATTTTGGAAGGTACTGTTTTGTGCATTGAAAAATTCAAAATTTCCATAGAATTGTCAACGTTTTCATTGAAGAGTTTAACTACGATTTTGAAAACTCATTCCAAACTTGTCTTTGTATCTTGGATTACATGATGTTCGTTCCTCCATTTGAAGTTGTCTTGTTTTGTAATGCACCAGATAAGGCCGAAGTTCCTTCTGTGATGGTCGAGAAGGAGGCTGCAGAATCAATTTCAAGCTCACCTAAAGATGTGCAAACTAACAAAGGTGAACCATCACGACAGATTGATATAGCTGGGGAGATTAGCATGGAGGCCTCCATGACAACTGATGATGTTTTACGGGCTGGAGGATTTGGTGCGAGGGATGATATTGGTAGTTTTCTTCCTGTTGCAAGTGATTCTACTGACTTTGAAGCTACAATTCTCAATGCCCGAGACTATGAAGGACCACAGGGGAAAATTTCTAGACCGGGCCTTGGCTGGAAAGATGCTAACAAAGACTGAGTAGTTATGCTTTGAGAATTTTGTTTGTGTCCATCTACAGTCATTTGTAAGTACGGTTTGTTTACTAGTCTGTACATGATCATGTTTTGTCTTCTGTTGCAGTAGGAAGATGTACTTGTTTGTTGTATCTTTGAATCAAGATAGACCATGAGCCTTTCAATATTATGATCAAGATAGATTGCAGATGACTCTTTCAAAATTATGCTTGGAATGCCCTTAGGAAGCAAAGTTAAGCTCAGCTTTCTATGATGCATTGGACTTTTGATTGTGTTTTTAACTCTTAAACCTCTGAAAGAAAAAACTCAAGGCATCCATAGTCTTTATGTGGTTAATGATATTATTATTTATGACAAAATACAGTTTTAATTTATTTTACCTTCACTATATCATTCTGGCATCCTGTTCCTCTAGGATGCTCGTTTTGTGACCTGTTTTAGATACAAGATGTTGTAAGGGAGTGGCTTTCTGGAATATTCTTTGTCCAGGAGCAAGGATCGAGAATGGGTCATATGTAGATTTCCTCTCCACCAATGTCCACCATTTGGAGCCAAAGTGAGCCTGCCACTCATCTTGGGAGCTACAATGAGGCAGATATTGCTTACATCCTGGAAGAGCTCTGGTACAGTAGTCAAGAATTTTTTGGTTTTGGGCTAAAATGTGTTCTACGCTCTCTTTTCCAGTTGAAGTTGGCAGTGCAGAAAATAAGAAACCCACTAGGTAGAAAATGTCTTCGTCTGGTGTGACCATTGAAGTTTTATTGTTCCACCTGTATAACCCAAACTGATTTGTATTAGGATGGGTAAATAATATGTATGTTGGATTTTAATGGGCAAGAGACTAAATCTAATGAAACAACTACTTGGATTTGTTAAACGGGTAGATTAGGATGGGACCATTGCTAGAATCTGAAAGTATGTTGCCAAACACCTCTGTAGCAAAATCATTTATGTTGCTTCTTGGGATCATTAGATTCAGCCAAGGGTGAGGAACCTCCCACAATCCTTTTGCCCTTAGTTTTTTCTCAGATATGTGCACTCTATCCAGAAACTCCACGTAAGGAACTTCTGATAGAAAGAGAGTGGATGGAATGTAGCTCAATTGTGATAGCAACTTCTCAACTCTCTGCATTACAAAGTAGAGCTTACAAATTGAATTATTTGGTAAAGGTTTCTCTTTTTTTAAATTTCTTTTGGCTATTTGACATGAGTATGATATCTCATAATGTTTCTGGCTATGCTTACCTTGTTCATAGACTCAGTCTCTTCAGATTTGAAGTACATGGCCAATTCTAGACAGTACAGAGTTGTTCCATCTGCGACAAATTGGCTGGCTTTAATCGGGTCTTTGGGATCAAAGGAAGATCTCCAATTATTTAGGATACCAGTTCTGTTTATTAGAACAAAGCCTTCAATATAATCGAAGGAGAACTTGGAGGATATCAGATGCTCTTGGTCCTTGGAGAATATTGTGAAGTCTGAGTACAAGGTTCTTATCCACTTTACCTGTCAAAAGATGATGAATTATGTTGTGCATTACAAGATTCCACAAAAAGGTTTATTAATATACCTATTCTGATGGAGTGCAGGGTATTTTTACCATTTTCGGTGCTGATTCGAGAGAAATCCTTGCCCTTGTGATGATGCCAAACTGACCAAGTCCTCCTAGTACACCATAAAACAGATCGGCATTATGCTGCTCCGAACAGGTAACTACCTCTCCCTTTCCTGCGCTCAATTGAAACTTTCATCGGTTTGTCTACCTCCAAGTTCTTAATATTGAAATGAGTTAAAACTTTGGCTTCGCTGTACATATTTGCTATAGTGGTTCTACGCCATCTTTGTAATATAATAATTTAAGCGCATACTTTTATTTTTTATTTTCTACTCCTAAAAATGATGCTTAGTTTCTTTAAGAAATATTACATATTATAGTAATATCTCTTAAGAATATAGTATTTCTCATTAAAAAAAACTTGATTCTTACTGACAGACGATTGAGAATTCATTAAAACCCAAAAAAAGAAATTATATCAGCTATTGAGTAGGTATGAATAAAAAATTATTCTACATAGACAATTTAATTAAATAGTTACCATATTTTTGTTATTCCTATTCACCCTCTTTATGATTTTCTTAGGTTGGATCAATAAACCATTTCAATTTTAATACTAGGCTTTTCAAAATTTATTAGTTACCTTATTGTTTAATTTCTTTTCCAAACTAACCACGAACTCTTTGATCAAAAAAAAAAAAAACCACGAACTCACAGAAACCCTTGGAATTGGTTTT